CGAATTCGTTTTCTGTTCACCTCTCCTTCCCGCCGTCGATCAAGAAATACGGCTCGTTTTCCTGAGAAAAGTCGAAAACTATACAGCAAGGTAGGATATTTCGGCAACGAGAAGAAACAAAATAAAAAAAATAATTATTTATGAATTATGAACTAGCTTTTTTCCTTTTCTGTTCTGTTTCCATATTAAAATATATATAATAAATGATTTACATACACAAGAGGTTCAAACAGGTTCAACCTACCATGGTTAAGTGCTGGTCACTATCAACGACTCTTATTAAAGACTGGAGATCGAACGACTATAATTCTGGCGGCACTAGTGCCGCTACGGCACTGCAGAATTTGCCTTAGAACAAGCTTTGTGCCTGACCAGTGGCCTGATAATTTTTTATAATAATTATTTAACATAACAATTAAATAATTTCCAGTTAGTTAATATGCTTGTTGATTTAATTTATTTATAATCATGAAACTTGTGTTTCTATTTCATAGCATGAGATCAACAATAGTTTCATCTAACTTTTGAGACAATATTAATGAGATCCTCCACTTAAGATATTTTGTCTTCGATCAAGAAACTTTGATCCCTAAAAGTAAGAACCTTATACACATTGGGTAATTATGGATTCGTGATGGTTAGTTATTCATGACCAATGCATTGGTATGGGTGTACTACTTGGTTTTATATTTATTTATTTATCTATCTTTTATATCGATTTATCTCAAACAACCTTTCAACTTCTTCTTTCTAGTTCATATGTGTTCCTTGTTGTAATTGTATTAGTGTGACCTGACCTCACATTTACCTTTTAGAAAAATGTGAGGTTCAAAGTTAAAGATTGCCACATCAATCATATGAATATGTTATGGAAAATTGTTTGAGCCGCGATCCCTCGAAGTAATCAGCTTGGATGCGATCCACGCCTTGCTCCCAGACAAGGCGCCTAGACCCTACAAGAAAGGGCTCACAGGGGCCCGAGTGGCCCGTTAGCACTCCAACGATCAAGTTAGTTAGGTTTCTAGAGAGATAAGTGAAAAGAGAATTTCTAGTGAGAGAATCCAACCTTCTTAAACTCCACCTACCTAACACTATTTATACTCGCCGAGGCTCCGACCAAGCTCCTAGAATTCCGTCCTACGTGTCAGCTAGGCATTAAATGCTCGGTACGGCCTAAAGACAGGGCGCCTGTACGTGGCACTCCCTCAATTCTCCTGTCGGGGGCTCCTAGAGGGGACCACTCCCCATAGGTGGCAGCCTCTTGGCCTTCCTTTTCCTTACTAATTTGTCTATGTGCTCCACTTTTGGCGCCATGCGGCTAATCCTGTTACTGTGGGCCTTGTTATCTTGCTCGGCCCATACCATTTAGGGCTTCCAATGGGCTTGGGCCCAATGAGGTTTGTGACTTCCGAAGGGTTTATCCATATTGACCCAACAATTGTCCCCCAGTTAGGTGTTCATGGTTGTATAATGAGCGCCTAACTATATGAAAAAAGGGGGAAGGGCGTTTCGATGAATAGCATCCTTATTGAGCCACTTATCATGCACTGCCTTATTTTTTCCTCCTATGATTTTTCCTTAATGCGACTCCCGATCTGGGCGTTTTTTCTCCAAAATACTCATTATGTGCGACCCTTTAGCACATTTATTTTTTGGATAAATTCGGTTTGGGAGCCCCATTTACTACTCGTTGAAGGTTGGTGGCCTTCCGTTCAAGGTTCCATACATGGCTTCTCCAGGTAGAAGATTTGGGATTGCCGTTCGTAGCTTGCCCGACCCAGGCTGTGCGCCCATATCTGAATCCCACGACTTATTCTGCCTTAAGTGCATTTGTTTCTTGAACCAAAAAGGCGTGGGCGACCTTTTATTGCTTTTTTAAAGACTGGGCACCTGCATCCACTCCCCCAATTGGTGACTACCATCCCTGCCCCTCGATGTGCGTTTCAAAATTTGAATTTCAACATTTAGTTATTGAAATTTTGAAAATTCAAATTTCAAATGGACGGCGAGGATGAAGCCTCACAGCGTGCACGTATCTCGAGATTTGGCTGTTACTCTTCCCCTCTATTAATATCATCAGCCGCCTCCTCTCTTCCCTCATTCTATCGAAAACTTTCTCTCTCTACTTTCTCTCTACCGGGGATTGCTGTGCGCCTCCTCTCAGGAACGAGATTGGCCATGCCTCAAAAATCTGGCTCAGGCGCATCTGGTGGTGACGCTGCAAAGGGCAAGGGGTCGGCACCCGACGTTATTGCGGAATTGGAGAAACATTTCTCTCCCGATCTCACTTGAGAGCCCGATAGGAGGATTGTGTGTGGGAAGAAGGGGGCGCCCGGAAAAGAGGATGTGTCGTCGTCGAAAGTGGCGTCCGCTGAGAAACTAGCACCGCCCCAAAAGGAGAAAATGACCAAGGAGGCAACGCCTGCTGCCCCAGAAACGAGTAAGTGTTCTTCAACTTGCGTTTATTTTGGACTTTTTAGCAAGTAATGAGTTTCATAGGCGCCCCTTAGCATCCTAGGGCCTTAGTATTGACAATGTCATGATTGAATCGCCCATTATAGGCAGTGCGCCTGGATCTTCGCGGTCGTCTGAGTTGGTGATTTCTTCGACCTCATCTGATTCAAATGCCCCGGATGATGGATCTTTCAAGATAAGGGAAATGGTCTTATAAGTGGCCACTCGGCCATACGCCTCTAGAAACCACTCAGTTGACTGTGGAGGAAGGTGAGTAAAGGTGTCTAGCAATCAATATATTTCTTCCTCAATGAATCATCATATGAACTTCGGGTTCATTTTCTTAGTCTGAGGATCAAAATGATGATTCATTCCAACTTATCTTTGCACCCAAAGATTTAGTTCCTCCCCCTTAATGTTGAAAACATGATTCATCAAAATGATACCAGTAAAAGAGCCATGAGCAAACCTCCCATTTCAATGAGAACTCATATCCAACATAAATTTCCAACCTCGAGTGAGAAATCATCTTAACATGTTGTGGTTGTGCAATTGAGATGTATACAGTATACCTGAGTGTTCACCTAAGTTTTCTCGTTGGAATGTCAGGTTCTTGACCAAAAAATCATTAGTAAGGGGGAGGGGACTTGATAACTTGTTGGATTCATGCGTATTAATGCTACCACTTGTGTCTCGACGAGAGATTAATAGACTTAGCTTGTACGAAAACAATGATCATTCCTACCATAAGGTGACACACATTTTCCATATGTTTTATTAACTCTCCGCTTTGTTTCATGACACTTTTTCTTCTTCATTTTTTCCACTTCAAGGGAAAAGAATGGGCTCTTAGACACCCCCCCCCCCCCCTCAATTTCAATATAAGAAAAGTATTCAGAAATGTGACATGATAAAACAGTAGCGATCTATATGATTCATTAACTTTGTGAAGTTTAATCTTAGCTTAGAAATTGATAAAAACTATATCACGCAACAACAAAAAAAATCTCAATATTTCATTGCATTGCCTTTACTTTTAAGGAAAAAATGATAAATAGTTAAGAGAATTGACATACCTCTAACATTAGTAGCTAGAGAAGAATTATCACGAGCCATGCACAATCATACCGTTGGACATAGTATTCTACAGAGCTTCGAGTTGATGACGTATTATAAAAAATTTAGAAATGGAGAAGGAAACAAGTACAAAAGTACAGGGGGAAAACGTAAGAGAAAGCAGAGAAGTGCTCTCCTTCTTATCCAATTGACATACAATGAGGTGCTCTATTTATAGGTACATATACATATAGGGGTGTTCAAATGGTTACCATGGTTATTACCAAAACAAATAAGGCTAAATTTCATTAACCATGGAATACAATATCATAACCAAACCGTCCAAACTAATACAACAACCAAATTAACCAAACTAAAATTTAATCGGTTTGGTTAATTGGTTAACAAGATTAACCAATATAAAATCACATTATCATTAAGTGAGAGAGTTTTCGGTTAATTAATCAATTCACAATTTATATAATGAATAAAACATAACAATCAACACATAGTTATAGTTGACCCTTAACATAAATACATGCAACTAAGACAATTACGGTTAGTATATAAGTATTCACCTAACAAAAATTTATCACAATGGTATGAGTTAATGAATTGTTGTGTTTGTTTGAATTGACTTACTCTTTTAGCAATTTTCATAGGCTGAAAAGGACCTTGCTTTCAAGTTTTCATCCAACATAATGTATGAGATTTATCTAAACTAGACGTTCATATGTTGTGGTCTACACTCTACATATACAAATATACATTATAGGAACAATATCAAGCTTTATATTTTATGAGTCTAAAAGGGATGAACGTTTAACTTTTGAGTGGTTATTCAAAGTATTAAGTATGTGTATATATTAGATATATGACTAATTATTTATCTGGTTAATTTGGTTGGCTGGTTAGGAGTGTCTGAAACCAAACCAAACCACCTAAACCAAACAAGCTAAGAACTTTAACCAAACCAAACCAATTATCCAAACTAACCAAACCAAATTATCCAAATAGTACTGGTTAAAACGGTTACCATGGTAACCACACCGTTTGAACACCCCTATATACACAACCTTTACAATCTACTCTAACAACACACATGAATGTGATATAATAACTATAAAGAGGTTCTTTTCCATGATCAATGTGTAGAGGCAAATACCATTTAATGCAGCATCCAATGTAAAATACAATGGATATCCTCAATACTATATTATTTCATAATAAAAAAATATTTTTGTATATATTTGTTATACAAATGAAGTGAGATTTTAAAACATAAAGCAAATTTACATTCTACAATCACATTCACGTATCAAGCCTTTTTTTTCTTTTTATAAAAATGCAGTCGGTTTCCTAGTTTTTCTTCTTCTTTTCTTGCCATAGTCGGTTTCCTAGTTTGGTGGAGTGAAAACAGATCAGACGAAGCCCAAATTCAAATGGCCCGCAAATCAAAGGCCCAAGAAATGCTTAAGACATTAGCCAACCTAGTCAGTCCCCTTTGCTTTTACAATGACCCAAAGGGGAAAAAGAAACCGAATAGTAACAAACCCTCTTTTCTTTTAGTAAGACTCAAATCCCAGCAGCAGCAGACCGACTTGAGCTTCTAGTCTGAACCATCTCTCCATCGCTTCCCTAAACATGGCCTTTGTTCCGGTTCTTCTTCGCAGAGCTGCTTCGTCGTCTGCTCTTCCTGCCGGGATCCGCGTTTTTGGGTGCCCGAGAACCTTCCATAGCGCCGCTTCCACCATCCTCTCCTCTGAAAAGCAGAGTCTACCCGGACAAGGGCTTAATGGAGCCGGCAGTGGTTTATCTCCTCTGTTCCTTCGGTTCTCAACGGCCGCCGTGGAAGAACCAACCGTCGACGAGACTCTGATTCGCACTCTTGAGAGCGGCGTCGACGCTGCCGGGTCGCCCAAGGTATTTATTTTATGCTAACCCTCCCCATCTAATCTAAGCTGCTGTCTTTCACTTAAAATGGATTTCTCGCGAGTGCTTTCTTTCAGCTATGTATAGATCGGATTTTGCCTTGGTCTCTCTCTGGTTCAATTTGTCAAACAGGTGGAAGGTGTCCCGGACGGGTGCCCTTTCGATATCGTCCAAGACAATCCTGGCAACTTGACAGTAATTCTTCAGAGAAGGTTTGGTAGGGAAGTTGTCAGAATCAAAATTGACTTGTCTCAAATCGTGGATATTGGGGAGGCAAATATCCCATCTAGCATCCCTCTGTCGCTCAACATTATCAAACCTAACAGGCAAGAAGGGTTAGGGTTTGCTATCACAGCTTTCCCTCGCGAGTTCACAATAGACACCTTGGCAATTTCAGATGACAACTCATCCTGCGGAGGCCTGCATTTTAGGCAAGTTCTGATACTGAATGATTGCATCATTAGCGCAGCGCAGCTCAACTCAAACAAAGTGTGTTGTTAACTGACCGACTGACTGAGGATTGTGTTTTTTCCTCTTTGTCTGTCAGCGACTTGGATTCGGAGATGCAGAAAGCATTTCATAAGTACGTGGAAGCCAGAGGGCTGGAACCCATCACCATAAACTTCTTGTTCCAGTTCGTGGCGAACAAGGTCAAGAGAGACTGGTTGAATTGTTTGCACAGAGTCAAGAAGTTTGTGGAGGACTGAGACGGAGCTTCGGTGAAGCTGCTGGAGAAGAGAACATTCTTATAGTCAGACCAGAAAGTCTCCAGGCCGCTCTAACTCTTGGTTAACTACTGTGGGTGGTGACGATGGTTTAAACTCAAAATAGATAAGCTATTCTCGCCTACTCTTGGGAGGACCAGCGGGAAATATGATATTTGTGTAATGATAATATAGTATCCGATTTACAGTAATACATATTCGTCCAATAAAAAAAAAGTATTCTTATAATAGATAGTAGTATGAAATCAAGTCTTTAAGAATATGATATTTAGGTTATGAAAATATGATATTTTTGAAGACCTGATGATATTTATGGTATGAAAATATGATATTCTTGAAAGCTTGATTTCATAAAACCATTTATATAAGAATACATTTTTTGTTGGATGAATTTGTATTCCAGTAAATCGTATACTATATTACCATTACACAAATATCATATTCTTCGTTGGGAGGACGTCCTCCCAACGGTAGGTGGGAGGACCATATCCGAGCCGGTTTAAACTCTATTAACACGGATTTCGATAGGGCCTAGGCCTTATACAACTACTTCGGGCCATTTTAGTGTAATCAGAGAAAAAACTTGACCAACTTGAACAAAATGGTTGAAATGTGACCTTGTCAAACTACTTCCAAACTCCACCTATGTATCAGATCATGAATTGTGAGCTCCAGTGAGGCCGGACATTATTTTTTTTATAATGTTTTGTGGGTGGATATATGTTTTATTAGCAAGAATGGAATGGTTGAAATTTGATCTTGTCAAATTACTTCAAACTCCGCCATCTGATAATGAATTGTTAGCTCCAGTGAAGTCAGACGTTATTTTTTTTACTGGCTTATAACCCGGCCCTTTGGCCGGAATGCTCATATTTGATTATTTGTATTTTTATGTTACTTTTAAGTTTATTAACTCGTTTAATCTTATTGATAATCATTCGATCGAGATGATACATAAAGAAATAATATATAGGTCGAACATTCGGAGAAATATCATAATCATTTAAGAATATAAAATATAAAAATGTATCATTGAGCCCATTTTCATAATGCTAGTTAAGTCCCTGTTAAAATGCTATTGGTTAGTTTTCTTTGACAGTCAAGAAATATAGAGTATAAAAGCTCACTGAAATTCTCACACAACCCATAGATAGTTTGAAACTAAATCTTAAACCTCACAATCCTATATAAAGGGTTCAATGCTCTCCTTTTAGAAACAATATGTCACTAATCAAAAAGAAATTGAGAGTTGTTGATTCAAGTCATCTATATACTAAAAACTCAGCTAAGAGGGGACCATCACAACTTGAGAGCAAACGAAAAAAATCAGGGTTATCTCCAATATACGAATAGACTCGATCAAAGTAATAAGGCGCAAAATTAGACACTCCTTATCTATTAGTTCCAGTAGGTTGAATAAAGAATTTAAACAAACAATCAATGATTCCTCGTTTTAAGATAGAAATAGGTTATGACAGTTGCAAAAACCATAAACCTAAAGATCCAATAGCCACCACTCTCCGTTGTACAACCAAATTTCTATCTCAAGAGGCATATATTCAACCAAAAATTCAATTTCTAATCTTTCTTCTACAACTTCAGTTATTGATGAACTCCATTCTATTCGCCATGAATTGATATCGGAGTTGAAATCTTCTACTCGCCCAGCTTAAAATCCCCAACAATAAAACCGTAGTGCCAAGAGATACCTGAAGATTGATTTTCAATAACAGTCTTGTACTGGGAAGTGAAAGGCGCAAACTATTGCACGATGGATGAAATTTCGGAGGAAGTTAGAAAGAGAAAAGAACAAAGATAAAAAAAAACAAAATTTAAATTTAAATTGAAAAATGAGAGGATACAACAGTAGTTACATAATTAATTTCTTCCATGTTGGCCAATTACCCGTTTACCTTTAGCAAAAATTAAGGAGAGAGCGGGAATTTAAAATTGATAAAGTTACATGAAACTCTACTATGAAAATAGAAGTATCAAGCTCGATAAAAATACATACGGTAGACTTAGTGAGCTTGCTAATTATGATGAAAAAGTCCTCTGATTTTCAGAGATTAACTTTGTCTATTTTTTGTATAAAAAAGGATGCAATAAATTTGTTTAGTGTAACTGGTTGTGATTGTTAACTTTGTTCGAATAGACCCGGGTTCAAATCTTGATATTGCTGTTTTTATATGAAATAAATAATATAAATGTGTAAAGACAAAAATGACCTTCCTACTTTCACTCTCATTGCAGGAAATTTGAAATGGAGAAAAGTACACAAAACTCTACCATATATTAATGGAGGATATTGTGGGTGGATTTCTGTTCTCTTTGTTAGAATATTTTTATGTATGTTAGTGTGTACTTATTCGGTTTTAATGCTATCTTTTATTTCGTTAACTAGATGAGGTGATAGATTTATTTTAAGTCTTCGGCTCCCGGGATGATTTACATTCAGAAGAATTCTTGGTTTTTCTATCTCGAGCAGCCTAGTGGGGGCCAGCTTGAACAAAATGGTTGAAATTTGACCTTGCCAAATTACTTCCAAACTCTACCATCAGATCATGAATTGTTAGCTCGAGTGAGGTCAAGAGTTTTTATTTATTTATAATGTTTGGCGGGTGGATTTCTGTTTTCTTAGCTAGAATGGATTGGTTGAAATTTTACCTTGTCAAATTACTTCCAAACTCCACCATCAGATAATGAACTGTTAGCTCCAGTGAGATCGGAAGTTGTTTTTATTTATTTGTAATGTTTTGCGGGTGGATTTCTGTTTTCTTAGCTAGAATATGTTTATGTATGTTCGTGCATACTTATTCGGTCTTCATGCTATCTTTTATTTCGTTATCAAATGAGGTGATATTATTTTAAGTCTCCTGCTCCCAGGACGATTTCGGTCTAGAAGAATTCTTGGGTTTTTCTATCTCTATCAGTCTAGTAGACCACTTGGAAGCCGTAGGGGTCATCGAGTCCAAGTTGGTGGAGCAAGAAGTCGAAGACCGAGCGTCAAAGAGAATAGGTGCCAACGACATCGTTTTACTAAAGAGAAAAGGCGGACCTTGAGCTGTTTTGGGAGAAACGTCTACTTTGTTAGGAAGTTGTCCATAACATCCTGATTCGCTGGCCACAAGTTTTGGGGATTCTGATTGGTAGAATGATGCAGTAGGGGTGATTTCCCCTCCTCGGAAAGCCTAATTGAAGATCCATAAATAGGGCTCTAGAGTTAGGGTTCGTGGGAAGGAGAGGCGAGAGTTCAATGAAGGGTCATTACTCTGCTAACAGAGCAACCATGCTGACTTAGAGCGACGCCACCTCGAGGGAGAATAGGCGGTGAAATTGACGCCAATGGGTCTGATTTCTCTGTTCTCGCAGCCGATTCGCGTGGTCGGGAGTCTTCGTTTTCGTCGATGAACTTCAGGACAACCTGTCCATGGTCGTCTAAGTTCTTTACTTGCGTAGGCACGTGAACCCTTGGGGTTTTAGCCATGTAAACTTGATAATTTGCTTAATACGACTTTTTGAGTTTCATTTGTGTGACGCTTGATTTCCTCTATTTTGTTAGTTGTTGATTTGAATGAATGATTAGTCGATCTTGCACTCCTTCGTAGTGCAAGGCGCAAAATCCAAAGTTATAGAATGACGTGCTTATGCGAGTTCGCCTAACTGGGTATATTGACATGTTAATTCGCCTACGTTGGGATGACGTACATCACAGATGAACCGTCCATCACAGTTGAAGCACTTGCCCTCCCGTTTTTTTTGTTTGATCTCAGCCGGAGAAAGTCGCACGAAACCTTTTGGTATGGCCCGCGGCCCCACTCTGGCCACTGGTGCCGCATTCCCACTCCTTTTATTAGCTCCGGAGGCATTTCCCGCCGCGGATCCTCCCCCGCTGCCACCAGCTCCACTACTTCCGCCCCCTCCACTTGCCCTCGGGTAACGTCCAATGGTGCTCCTCCAACTAGCAAGTTCTTCCTCTTTGTGACCTGCAAGACGAAAAAAAGCCTTCAGAGAATCCGACTCAAATACTCTGACTGCTGCTATCTCGGGCTTGAGACCCGCCATGCACAAAAAACCAATGTATCCTCTGGCACTCTCCTGCACTGGTTACCCAGCTTGAATAACTCAGCGCGATAATCGGCCACCGTCCCGATCTGTTTCAGCTTCACGAGCTGCTCTGGTGCCCACCCTTCTGATTTTCCGAACTGGTAATCAGAGCTCCTCCTGAAACATGGGCCAGGTGATCAAGGTCTCCACTGCCGCGTAGGATCTCTCCATCCACTCTCACCACTGCAGCGCGTCACCCTCCAAGTAGAAGGATGCCAGATAAGCTTTCCTCTCCTCTGGAATCAGGTGGTTTTTAAACCACCGCTCAGTTGCATACAACCAAAGACCTGCGTCCTCTTGCCCATTGAATTTTGGAAATTCAATGGTAGGAGGTCTAGCTCGGAAAACTATGCCATCAGTTTCCTCATAAGTATGGTAATACGAACCATACCTGTCTTCACCCTATGTCCTCCATGGCTGCCCGTGTGAGAATCCCTGCCCTCGGCTCGGATTCCCAGGCCCGTAGTACCCCTGATAGCCGCCTTGTTGGACCAGGTACCCACCAGGAGCTTCGGGCGCTCCACACGGCCCTTTCCAGCAAGCGAACCCTTTGCTGTCCGCTCTTCCCGGTGGCTGATGAGTTGGGTTTGGTCGATGGTCGGTTCGACCCACCCTGGTTTGACCAGAACCGATTCATCCTGGCTCGATTCGACCCACTCTGATCCGACCTGCGCCGGTCCACCCTATCTCGGTACGGTCCGCCCTCAGTTCGATCCGCCACGGTCCCCGTTGTTCGGTCCGCACTACAGGAGCGGACCCCATCCGACTGGCCGGGTCAGTCGCTCTGCCCAGTCCGCCACCCCTCTGGTCCACGACTAGGTCGGCCCGTCGGTCCATCAAACTAAGCCCGTCATCTTTGGCCTCATCATCTAGGCCCGACCATCCAAGCCCATTGCATCTCTCGCAAATCTCCCCACCATTTTCGGCCCATCATTCGTCAGAGGCCCGTCCGTGTCGTAGCCAGGCATATTGCCCGTACCCTTCCGGGCCGCCAGTTCTTGGGCCGTGGGGGTGGGTAGCACGCTCGCTTCGACGTTGGGCCCGGACGAGCCGAACCCTGGGCGCGTCACCCTAGCCGCCCCCGCCAACGAAGAAATCGCGGCCAGCGCCGCCCGTGCGCCTTCGCCGTCCGCCGCCGCCCTGCCGGTGCCTCGCGGCTCCGCCTGGCTCGGCGGTTTCCCTTGCCGCTACGTCAGGAACTCTCTCAGTTCGCCTATAGCCTGCCAAATCTCATGGGATTCGGCCTGGCGAGCTTCCTGATCCCGAGTATGGGTGATCAACACCTTCTTCAGGAGAGTGCGAAGGTCCTCCTCCTTCGTCACATCCTCCACCACGCCCTCCTGACGTCCTTTGATGGCCGCCGGCGGTGGAAGCCTCGACTGCGCCATTTTGAGTGGCACGGTGGCGGCCTAGGTTGGCTTCGGCGGCACAGTCGCCGCGGTCACCATCTCCTCTTCATCACTAGCCTGACTCGCAGCTCCTCCCGCGACCGCCCTCTCCTGCACGGCTTGTGCAGCCTTTTCAGCAGCTGTCATTGACTTCGTCAGCACCATCCTGTTCGTCTTTCCTTGATCAAGAACGGGGCTCTGATACCAAATGATAGAACTCGCTGAGCCGAGTTCTATCTAGGGATTAGGGATTTGGGGTCAACTAGGAGATGACCCTGGGAACTAGAATTGAGGCGTGAGTGAAGAAGAGATTTTGGAATTGAGGGAGGAGTGAACAGATGCTGCTCGGCAGCCAACGGAAGGAAAAGAAAGGGAGGTTCGGACGAGGGAGAAGGAAAGAGAGAGAGAGAGAGTGGAGATTAGGGTTTTGATAGGTTTAATCTTGTTTAGTGGTCTAATCTTAGGTACAAGTAGTTTATATAAAAATGGCTAATTCCCTACTGCTACCCGATTTATCAATTATTCCCCAATCCCCGAATAGTCCCAATAATCCGAATAATAATAAAACGATAATAATTCAAAGTACTAAAGTGCAAGTTCTCATCAAAGCATCGGCGGAATGGGATTCAAAACTTTCGTCGGAGAGAGGGAGAGGAAGAAGCAAAGAAATGATGGGGTAGGTTGGGGTTCTCGGAGTAGAGCAGCGACTTAGACTTTTTTGTTTTCTATTTTTTTATTTTTAAATCAATTTCATTTTGAAATAACAATAATAATATGATGTGTTAATGATGTGGCATCTATGTGGCAATTTTATTTTTTACACATCAACAAAATTCAACATTTCTTTGACTGTCGTCTAGTAAACCGTTATTTTTAACGCTCAACAAAATGGTCGGAATATAAATGACACAAAGTATCATACGACGGGACATGATAGGAATATTGAATAAAATAGGACATAAGTCACATTCTGTCGATAGTTCGGGTGTTGTAGTGATATTAGCCCTAAGTTTAATTATAATATAAACTTTATGTGTATGATGTCACACTTACATTACATGGATGTGTTTTGACTTTCTTGAGGTCAACTATTAACTCTAACAGTGATTAAAAACTTGATAACATAAATGACGTTGACCCCATAGATAAGAATAAAATTGTATTAATTGGAAATTACGAATATAAATGGCAATTTCGCTAAACATTGTTATTTATGCGATCGGATAGAGTGCTAACATCTTAAGTGTTAGCACCATACTTAATGATTTATTGAGAGCATTATAGTAACTGCTACTTATAGCAACTTAATCTGGGACAAGCTACGGTGCTAATCCTATAGGGGGTTAGCACCGTACTAACTAATATTTAAATGGTTTAATTTTATTTTTTATTAAATGGCTATAATTAAAGAAAGGGTATAATAGGAAATAAGAAGAAAATTAAATAATATGAAATTAATATGATATACAGAAAGTGGGGGATTGGGTTTTTTAAATGGTTTAATTTTAAGGGATCCATTAATTATTAACTTCCATTTTTTAATTAAATCTGTTTCCGTTAGTGGGCGGATTTTAAGGGATTGGGGATGGTTGTTGCTTGGAAATAATTATTAACCCCAATTTCTCGGGAAAAAATAATTGTGCTCCATATCAATCTAATATCACGTCTCCCTCTTTAATTGATAGATATTTATTAGTAGCAATATTAATTTAATAGTAGTGATTCCATAGTAATAACAGTACATATTTTAACGATATGGCGTAGTGGTTATTATTATTGGTAGTGTTTTCAATAGTTTTTTTTTGTCATAGTCATTTCATTCCTCGGTTGATTGTTTGTAGTAGCTATTTTCGAGGTGTTAATAGTGTTTCCAATCAAAAGTACTATTCCAATATGGTAGTTGTTAATGGTGATCGTAGCAATATTTTATGATGGTAGTAGTGATTTACCGAAAAAGTGGAAACAACAAAACCACTACTACTTATGTGCTATACCAAAAACACAAAACAACAAACCCTTAATCTGCATGCACTTGCACCAGCGAGCAACTCGTGAGTCGGACAAGACATAAAAGGGCACCGCCCCTAAAAAATCCGATTGTGGGATAGAAATACGAGATCTAGGGCGGACCAAGATGAGCGTGGCGCCGACGAGATCGACGCAGGAGAAGGGAGCTAAGGCGACTCCGGCGCAGGCGATGACGACACATGATCGGGAAGCATGCAAGGGATGTGACTTGTGAGGACAGGGAAGGCACCGAAAGCAAGGTCGTTGAAGGAGAGGGTACCTAACCGCAACGGTGACTCGTACAAGCCTGACTCTAGCGACAGCGAGGCAAAATCTGGAGACGCAGAAGATTGTTCTTTCGATTGGGGTGCTCGTGTGATGGAAGAGAAAGAGGATACAGGAAAAGAAAAGGGGAAGCAAACATGAAGGATGAAACATGAAAAAGGAAAGGGATTGTTGGGATTTCTAGTTTCCAGCCATAAAATCCGCAGATCCTAAGTATGAGATCGCGTGATGACGTCAGCTAGAACGTTATCTCCCCAAAACACCCTCAGCGGCAGAGACACGTTAGATTGGGCCAGATAAATTTATAAGGTGCCTAAGTGAGTTATCACCGTGCTAACTAATGATATGGTTAGCAAGCCATCACATCCCACTTAATCTTCCACCCGGCCCGCCTTCCATTGGTCTCTACCTCTCGCCCTTAAACTCCACTTCTCTCTATGTAAAAAAAGCAAGTCAGTTGTCAATAAAATTATTTTATCATTATAATTTCCCCCCACCATTATAAAAATAAGATTATTATCTTACCATCAATCACAATTTTTGGTTTACTTCGTGAGGTTTTTTTTTTGTGTGCTTTCTAGTCTCTATGGTATGCTTCATGAGAGTTGTGGTACGTTTGTGATGCAACCGTGATCGCTTCACACGACGTCTCTCGTGTTCGAAGGCCATATAAAGATCACCCAAAGACAGTGGCGGATTCAGAAAATTTTCACAGGGATGTCCTCTTCAAAAATTAAATTAAATTATATAATAAATTAAATAATTCGTATATTAAAAATATCATACTTGTATAATTTGTATAAATTTTTTATTAAATAATGTATTAAAATTCATATTTTGAAAAAATAATAGAAATAAACTCCGTGTCTGCACTGTTCAAAAAAAATCTACATATCCTACTAGACAATACTTCACGAACTTATCACATATTCGATTTCTAACCTTGTTCTTAATGTAGCTTAAAGTAGAAAAGACTCTTTCAACACTTGCCGTGTAACCATAAAATCAATTCAAAATTAAAGGTAGCGTGTATATAGTTTAATTATTAGGTATTGAAAATATTTGGGGATAAAGAAATAGCGTTTTACTGTTGCATGATGTTTAAAATAGAATAACAAATGAGTAGCAACATAATTAGAATATGTTTGATAATAGTAGTGTCCTAGGTTGGAATAACACGGACTACCATTTATATTTTGTTAATCATAAGCAAACTATTATCGAGGGTAGGATAATCATTTTTTCAAATGTTAGGGTGTCCCGGATTACCAATTTTATTTAGTATACCTATACGAAACTACTACCAGAGATTGAATAATCGTTTCCCCAAATTTTAAGGGTGTCCTGGGACACCCCTAGAGGCCCATGTATCCGCCCCTGCCTAAAGATGAAGGCTCTAGAGGCTTGGGAAGTCAAAGACAGAAGGGTCTAATTGACCAAGAGATGATCGTGAAAGCGTTGGGGGAGAAGATTGAAGTTTCAAGGTAAATACCCTATCTGGCAGGTAAAATCCCCTATGGGGGATATGGGGTTCGGGATAGGAGAATTGGGGAAGGGAAAATCCCCGGTCTGAGGGTGCTAATCCCCGATAGGGGATTTGGCTCTGACAAATTAAACTTCTTTTTCCGTTTTGCACTTGTTATTTTGTGTTTAAGTGTCTTTTTTTTTTTATGGTTAAATCAAAATTGCATTAAACCCCGGCACCAATAGCAAATCGCTATGGAGCCCTCACAAACTGACAGTCCCTGTACATCAAACCCAAATGGTAATCGCAAAATCAAAAGATAGCTACCTATCTACCCCAAGCCCCCTTCCTACAAAACAGTCAATCAAATTTTGGTTCAAAAGGCATCTCCCTCGAATGAATCTTCGAGCAACACTCTGCAGCTGCAAAGGACTCCTCGCCGCAGCAGAACCATACATCCTTGCACACCTCTCCCTCCACACAAGGCTAATCAAAACACTCCAACACATTCTGTTAAGGAAGTTCACAGTGGTATTAGCACTCCACTGTTGCACACACCAATTCAACATGGAACCCCAACTATCAAGCACAAGAGGCAAGGCTACCCCCAGCACACGCATATATAAGTATTGTATATAAGAACAGTGAACAAACAGATGGTCTCGAGTCTCCACACCTCCAGGACACATCAGACAACACCCAGATAAAGGTTTTCCCCATGCGATAAGTTTGTCCTGAAGCTTCAGTTTATCATTTATCACCAACCACGCAATGAAACCATGTCGAGGTATAACATACTTATCCCAAACCAAATGGAACCAATTAACCTCATTCTCTTTCTACCTTAATGACTCCCACACCCTCGAAACAGAGTAGGGGCACATAACCAAGCCATCCCACTGCAGCTCAGAATTTACCACAGAGATATGAGGCCTCACCAGTTGTCTACACTTTAATAGCCTCTTCCATATCCAATTCCCTGCTGCACTCTCCTTCAAATCCCATATAGATGACTGTTTTATCCTATATCTTGTGATCCACGCAACCCAAATAGACCCCTCTGCTGCCAGGAGCGCCCAAAGGTGCCTGCAAACACAAGCTTTGTTCCAGATGGAGAAATTTCTTATACCCAACCCTCCTTCTTTTTTAGGCCTTGCAATGAATTGCCATGCAGTCACTGCTCTTCTTCTCAATGAGTTTTCGTCAATATCCCACAAAAAGTTTGTTATAGAGTTATTTTGTGACTCCTATATAATGAGGAGAGTCTTATTGTATGAAGGATCATCGAACATTAAAACTAGTTTTTATTTATCAAAGAAATCAACAGAATTTCGAGTTTAAGTTTGAACTATTGTGCAAACTCTTCGTTGAGGATTCCGTAGGATTGTATGAGGCTCTTATCAACCAGACAATCACATGTGGTCGTGGCGAGCGACAACTATACCGATTGGCCTTTCCCAAAGGTTCGGGATCGTTTGACCGGTTTTCGCTTTATCTTTACTTTTCTGCGTTCTTAAAGGAAAACCTAGAAAATACAAAAATTGGAGTGTTGCGTATTCTGATTGTTGAGCGAGTTTGAATCCCTCGAACCCGACACATATGAGTTTGGACATATTTTTAGTATGCTTAAGGAAACTTTTGGTAGACTTAATAGTGTTTCTTATATGCTTAAAGGAAGTTGTGTTTGGCTTTGTGGGGCTTTTGGTCTTCTTTGGGGAACTTGTGGTCGATTTTATGAGGTTCCTGATATGGTTTAGGAAACTTGTGGTCGACTTTATGAGGTTTTTGTATGTTTCAGGGAACTTCTGATCAACATTGAGTTTATAGTCTACTTTGAATTTTCTGGTGAGCATGTCCATCCACTTTATGTATTCCCCTCTATAATTTGTAAAAATGTCAAGCATGTCCATCCACTTAAAAGTTAACATTAATTGTGATCAACTCCATAAAAAAAAATCAAAATTAAATACTTTTTTTTGGTGAAATTAGTTTTAGCACTAAACTAATAAGTTGGATTGTTAGCAACCTAACCTTTATCTACACATAATATAATACACCGAAGGGAAAAACGGGAGCCCCATTTCAAATTTCCTGCAACGAGAGTGAAAGTAGGAAGGACATTTTGGTCTTCACAATTACTTTTTTTTATTCATTAAAAAGACACGTAGTGGGATTCGAACCATGACCATTTTAAGGAAAAGTAAGAATCATAACCAATCACACTAAGTACATTTGTTGTATCTTTTTAAATTAAAAACATATAATAGCAGGGAGAAAAACCATTACCCCATTCCAAATTCCCTAATCCAGGAGCGTTTGTAGGAATGATAGAATATGGAGTGTCAATTCTTTCCTCTGTGGAATGGGCCAACTTACCGTACACATGCGGATTTAAAAGGATTAAGGAGTGTCAATTTTTTTCATTAAGCCCTTTTATTTATCTGTGGTGATAAAATATATATGAAAAGGCAAAAACAATACTTCTTTTTATTGCTAAAATTAAAAAATTTAACAATAAACTAATGCATGGTATCAAATGGGCTAACCGCTAACCATAAAATAAAAGAGTTGAATTGGCCTGACCTACACGAGATTTGGCCATCAAGTAAAACAAATGAACATGATTGGTTTGAAATTCTAAAACAAGCTATTTTCTCTGGCATAATATATATTATGCTATTATTTTATATCTTAGTGGCTAAATAATAATGTATTTTAAAGTCATTCAATGGTTCAACCTCGACCAACCCAATTAGTCCAATTTTTATCATTTCAAATATATATTATATAATTATTTGATATCATAATGATAAAATTATAGTGTATTTTATGGGGAATCGTTAGGTATTTGTTAGTAAAAATACTAAACAGAAAGATCTATTTGGTTATTTTAAACATTAAAACGATCCTAACATTTTCAGTTCCTTTTGACTTTCTATGGTTTTATTCCCGAATAAGTGATGTGCAAATGGCAAATTGTAGTCATCTCTTTTCTTTCACTATTTTTTATTTTCAAATAGAAAGTTTAAAAGTAAAGAATAATTAGAATTTGGCATGGGTCGGTCAAATAGGCTGCATTTCAAGTTTTGGCCAGTTTTGATCAAGTCTAATTTATAATCACATGGTTCCCTGATACCCGATAAAAATCTCAATCCAAACCAGTTGGGCAGGCGAGTCCGTGTTTACCACCATTTTCTAGGGATACGACAACGACGGTTGCTATCCCAAATCGTGTTGTTCGTTCTTGATTTCCTTAGATTTCATCATGGCCTGAAAAAAACCAGAAAGCACAATGACGACAAGATAAAAGTTTTATAAACCTAATTAATCGGCCAACGGGTCGAGTAAAAGCTAGCAACGACTGTGAGATGCTCATTTCCCAAAAACTGACGGGATAGGTGATTTTTTATTCAATTTGTTGTAATTCAATTTCTGTGAAACTTACTCCACCTCATCATATTACCAGAAACAATATTGTTTCACAAAGTAACAGGTACTTGATTTTTGTTCATTAGGGCGATTTTTTATTTGTTGCATCATTAATGTCTTTTTCCTGCTAAAGTTCACTATTTTTATCACGTGTTTCCCAAAAAATAAATTATATAACAATAAACTATACAATCCCATTACATTATCAAATTTCATACCTCACCTTCCTCCGGCCAACTGGCCGGGACCCACCCTAGTCATTATTTATAGTAGTGCTATGGATGGTTCCTTATTTTTCCATCTACAGGGAAGAATAGGATTTGAATTTACTATTTAGTCCATGGGAAAACCTTGACGCGGGGAGAAAGAAACAGCCCGTTCTACCAAAAAAAAAAAAAGAAAAAAGAAACAGGCCGCTTTAAACCCCAGCACACACATTGTGCTTCTGCAACCTGAAGCTATCGGTACAATCTCGATATTCCGCCAAACATGGCGTTGGTGGCCATGCTTCTTCGCAGAGCCAGGTGCTCGACTGGTCTTCCTCCAGTGATCCCCGCTCTTGGGGCCCCGAGAACCTTCCAGAGTGTCGTCCGCGCGATCCTCTGTTCCGGAAAGCAGAGTCCAGCGCAAGGGATCAATAGCGCTGGTAGTGGTTTCCGTCGTCCAATCCTTGGATTCGCAACTGCTTCCGTCGCAGAACCAACCGCCGACGAGAATCTGGTTCGGGATTTCGTGACAGTACCAAGCGCCCAAGAGAATCTGGTTCGGGCTCTCGAGAGCAGAATCGACAGCGCCGGGTTGCCTAAGGTACGATAAATTGCTAACCCTCCCTATCACATGGTCTCTGTAATTCAACTTTGAGCGGTTGGAATTTGACTCTTGCCCCCTTTGTGGTAAAATCTCCGAGCAGTTTCCCGGCGAATTCCCGTTTGATATCAAAAGGTACCCGGAAAGACTAGTTCTAAAGAGAACGTTTCACGAGGAAATCGTCAGAATCGAAGTCAATTTGTTGTATGAAGTTGAAATTGGGCGCATCCCCATGCTGGTCACCATTACCAAAACCAGGAATAGGCAGTGGTTGGAGTTTCGTCTCACGGCTTCCCCTCACGAGTTCACAATAGAGAGCTTATCAGTAAAAGAATCTGAGCCACCAGCTTCGAAAGAAGAATCTGATTTCAGGCAAGTATTCTCATGCTGATACCACTAATGAGAATGTAAAAAGTGTTGGATTGTACTCTGTAATTGGACATGTGGGTACGTTTGTTTCCTCTTTGGCAGTGAGCTGGATTGCAACACGCAGAAAGCTTTCTGCGACTATTTGGAAGCTAAAGGGATCAAACCCAACACACTTAACTTCTTGTTCCAATGCGTGGCTAACAAGGACAAGAGAGAATGCCCCATATGGTTGAACAAAGTCAAGAACTTTGTGGAGAAGTGAGACCAGTCAGCCTCTGGTGAAGCTGGGTAAAAGAAGATACCACTTTTAATCAATTCGCAGCTACTTAGCAGTTCACATCTCCATTGTATAAATCTGAGAGGGGGACTTTCTTCTTCTTTATTGTTTTTGGTTTTTTGGTACAGGTAATTACAGTTTGCCATGCTTAAATATGTTCTAAGTCATTAGCACATTTGGGGGGTTAATTGCACCGGGTGTCACTTAACTCTTATAATTGTTGCACTTTCTTCTTCTTTATTGTTTTTGGTTTTTTGGTACAGGTAATTACAGTTTGCCATGCTTAAATATGTTCCAAGTCATTAGCACATTTGAGGGTTAATTGCACCGGGTGTCACTTAACTCTTACAATTGTTGCACGTTAACCACTTAACGTAATTTCGTTGCAACTAAATCATGTAAGTCTTATTATGAGTGCACCGTCACCACTTCCGTCATCAGACGTAACGGCAGGTGCCGATACTGTAATTTGCCATGCCACGCAAGCGTACATGTCAGCATATTTGCTGACTCATTTTCGGGCCTCACCAAAACCCTGGGCCCACCTATTTTGGACGTTCCTCCTGCTTTATCTTCTTCAAAACTAACCCAAAAAACAGATTCTCACTTCTTCCCAAAAAACCTAGAACCTTTTCCTACTCATTCTCTCTTCTTCCCCGAAACATCAATCTCTGTTGAAAATTGCAGCAGGTATTGAACTACTAATATGCTGAAACTTGCAGCAAATTGCAGGAGATGATTGAAATTGCAGCAGTTTGGTGGAAGGTAACTCACCATATGTCGGAATCCGATCATTGTCTCCTACTTCCCTGATGGTTGGGCTCATGTTTGTAATTAGAACAATAGTGATATAACAAACCTGGTACAACAATTATTTGGATTTTAAAACCTTGGACAAATAGAACCCAACAATAATAAACACAGAGTTATTATGAAGAACAGAGCATCACTTCATCTTCTAAAGAATCCATAACCGACTCACCTACTTCGATACATGAACAACCTATTTTCGTCAGATGCTCGTTTCAAATCCCTAGCAACATCACGAAAAGTAAACAGAATATAGAATCTCAGAGGACGAATGACAAAATCGAAGTTGCAGGGGCTGGAGTCAACGCTGAATCGGAAACAAAAGCCAAATACCAAGAGGCGCGGTCCACTGAAGACGGCTCTCAAGAAGAGTTGAAGGTTACTTAGCCCGTCGGAATTTTGAGCATCGGGATTTCATTCACCGTCGCCGGAATCAATGGTGCGGTTATTCTGTTGCGTCTCTTTTCTCTTGTCGTTCCTATTTTCTGTCCGTCAATGGTGCGATTATTCTCCTTTGTTCTCACAATCTCCTTGCTGAACCGGTTCGCTTTTTGCCTCACGATCGCCTTTGCTAATTCGGGTTCTCTAAAGAGGAATGGTTTTCCTCTTCAATGTCGAAAATTTTGCAGAGCAGAGAAGTTCAAGAATACGAGAAGTCGCGGGTTAAACTTTCTCAAATATTTTGTTCAAAATAGGTGGGCCCAGGGTTTTGGTGAGGCCCGGAAATGAGTCAGCAAATATGCTGACATGTATGCTTACATGGCATGGCAAATTACAATATCGGTACCTGCCGTTACGTCTAATGACGGAAGTGGTGACGGTGCACCCACAATACGACTTACATGGTTTAGTTGCAACGAAATTACGTTAAGTGGTTAACGTGCAACAATTATAAGAGTTAAGTGACACCTAGTGCAATTAACCCGCACATTTGGCAGTGGTATTTGAGATAAAATATTATGTAGAAGCTAATTTAGTCATCAGAATCTAGTAGTCCGCGACTCTCCGTGTCCAGCCACCGGCACTGGAATCCCTACGTTGGATTCTTGTTCTGGTATAAATTTGTTGGTGTATGAATATTTGTTGGAGGTTTGTGATATATAATTTTTATTGGTATGGATTATCAAACTTCTAATATGCATTTATTAATTTCTTGTATTGATTGTTACCAAGTTTCAAGAAGGCAATTAGGCTTAGTATGGCGAGCATTGGGGTCTTGTTTGGTGCATAGTTTGTCTAGGCGACGTCTAAGCGTTTCTAGATGTTGGAAGCAAAAATAGACTTTTGTACTAAATGACGAATGAAATAGTTGTTTTAGAACACTTCTACTTCATTGCCAAGTTATTTAACACTTAATAATGAGAAAAATAACTCAAAAGTTTACAGATTCATAGGCCTCATAAAGTTCTTGAGCTATTGAAAAAATTGAGAGAAACGTTTTAGATTGTAGATGATGTTAATTTCTCCATTTTGATTTTGATTGTCTATCTCCGCCAAATTATACTAGGTGTCCTCAAACTGAGCGGCCACGTTCGAAGTTCCTAACCTGTTGAGGAACCCCTAAGTAAGAGGTGTCAATCGGGTGGGTTAGGGTTGGGTTCAATTGGGTTACGGGCTTGTTGGATTTCGGTTTAATTAGTTTGCGGGTTAGTAGGTTTTGTGTGGCGGGTTTATCAGGTTACGGGCAGTTGGGTTGTGGGTTGACCGAGTTGCGGGTCAATTTGGTTACAGGTCGGATGGGTTGCAGGTGGATCGCTTAGCGGGTTGTTCAGGGCAAAGCTGTGTGTTACTTCTTTACTTGTTACAACTTAGTAACTTACAATAATTTCAAACGTTTTTTCGCAATTTTTTGAAAGTTTTTTTTCTACCTCATATGAGTATGTGTAAAAGTTAGTTAAAAAAACTTATCAAAGTGCTAAATTAGTTTTGTAATCTTTTAGATGATTAAGTTATCGGAATCGTATGTATTAACATACCATACTTAACCACATTTTGAAACCAAAATGCAACTCGAGCACAACTTAAATGTGTCATATCTTTATTTTAGCTGTAGAATGATGACCACGTAGTGCGAAAGTTGCAGCAAGTGTAGAAGCATAGAAAACAAGTAGACATATTAAGTGACCTTTTTTAAAACAAATGATCGTTGAAACTAATGGTTAATTTAGTTATTAAATTCATAAGAAATCTATATATATTGGTTCAGGCTAGCGTACGTTAGACATACATTGTACGCCCGTCGAGTTTTACTATTTAGAGCATGAATTAACTGGAGTTTGAGTCATGATACTATACCCTAACCTCTAATGGGTGAACCCCAGTCCTAAAATTCATTTAACCTAAAAAATAATAACTGACGGTTCTGATTCAGCGAAATATATTGAAGTGCAAAAACCAAGTGTGAACACAGGCGTACGCCTGACGACCCGTTGAGTTTTGTTATTTAGACAATGAATTAAGCGGAGTTTGGAGCATGATACTATACCCTAACCCCTAATGGGTGAACCCTAGTCCATAATTTTCCAATCCAAACCATGAGGTTCGTTTAATCTTAAAATGAAAATCAACGATAATTTTGACGAATTAGAATCGTTGATTTTCATTTCAAGATTAAATGAATCTTATGTTTTGGGTTAGTGAACTGAGATTCACGCATTAGGGTTTAGGGTATAGTATCCTGCCCCGAACTCTGCTTAATTCCTTGTCTAAATAACAAAACTCAATGGGCGTATGGTCGTACGTACGCTAGCCTTTGCCATATATGTACGATTCTCTAAACTTAAACCCGAAGTTCAATTTAATAGAAAATATTTGTAACACCCTTCCACCATTGACACATCATTAGAAAACATTTCATATTTAACATCTATTTAGTACTAGACTCGGGAGGAACGCTTTCCTCCAATATATCGAATAAAAATATGTGGAGAGTTCAGTTCCGCCACCCACCTCACGCCAATTGACTTGTCTTCTTCTATCACGATCCTTTTGAATCTGGGGAAAAAATATATTGACGGGGGTGAGACGTCACTCAATGAGTAAATAATAACCTAATATAGATATTAATACGAAAATGATATCAGGCTATGTTGTGACTCGGAGTGTCTTCCGTCCATTATACTTGATGTATATCAAATCACTTAATAACTTTACTTAGGTCTCACTTATGTAGATTCATACTAAATTTCTTCCCTCGTTCACGATCTATCACATATACGTTATGGGTCATTCATATATGTCGTATATCCTTCGATTAAGGTTTCTCCTTTACTTTACCCTACCTAGTGTTGCATATGGTTTGTATTTATTCTTATATCCCATACAAAATTTTCCTTCATATTTTACACTTCTATCAACACGTACAACATCAAGGGATGTATTGTAGACACATAACATTATACACGTCGATATCTCATGGCACTACCATAATGAAATTAGTATATCATTACTACTTATGTCACAGTTTCCTGATCAATCGTTGTACTACTCATCATAGGAGATCATCATAACATGTACCTCATATAACTTGATATGACACATAAAACGCATCAACCTTCACATACCACATGTAAGGAGGGTTCACATTCTATACCTCAAATATGGAAAATACTAAGATTGCCATCTCAATCATATATCACACAAAGATGACAAATATCAAGCTTGGCATTCACATACTCATGTTGCATCCAAAATCAACAATGAATCAACATCCAATCACACACATACATATAGTTAGCTGGATTCAGTAGCTTTTATTCTTTAATTTGCCAATTCATGCACTCCCAGGGATCTCGTAAACTCGTAACTCGTAGGCACAAAGTGCCAGATCTCATATACTCGTGAACTCATGGGCACAGAGTGCCATATCTCATGAACTCGTGAACTCGTGGGGCAGAGAGTGCCATATCTCATAAACTCGTAGCCAGGCCTGGCATTACTCCTTAAAATGAGTTCTCGTATAACGTTTTTATCTCTTAGGCTTGAAGCCTCTTTTCACTTATAATGAATGCATGACAGGGTGCCATTACGTTTGCTTTAGGTGGCCATGCAATTCTTATAGTTAGTCACAACTTAAATATCACTTGTGTGACGCAAGGGTCATATCGTATCACATTCACTTGCATGGCTCATAGACCATTTTATCTCATCTTGTACAATTCACAAGAGGCAACCTTTCTTGCCATTCTTTTCACTGAACTACCTTGGATACCATTTCACATTTCATATACTCATCACATAATACTGTTTAGTACATACATAACATGTATTATGACCTTCTGCTCATATCATCATACAATTATTTCATCATATCATCATATTATCATATAATTACCACCATACGGTAACCTCATCCAATCATAGGATCATTCAATCATTTCATCTCATTCAATCATGTAACCATGTCACATATCGACATTCAATCACAATTGGTAAGTCTTACCAAGCCATCATACAGGTTGTACTCGGGCCGCTTCATGACCCGAATAT